TAAAGAAGTGTAGATATTTTGTAACACAAAGCAACTTGTAGTTTCAAGTGCCGTACTTGTAATTACTGACGTTTTTGGACAATTGTAGTCTATTTCCGTAACACAACGAACACACTCGTACAGTAGTGTTACGGATTTTTCTACAATTGTAAACAATTGTCTACCTATCTCGAACGCTGAGCAGATTCAGTTTTGTAAAGTATTTTGCCGTTAGCATAAAACTTTTCTGTCGATATGTGGTCAAGTGATTCCGAAAGTAAAAACTAAAACGTTCCTACAGTGTATCGGTATCGAGAGAGAATGAATACTTTCTTCCTGAGAGACGCAGAATTTGTGGAAAGGTTCAGACTGAATCGAGAACAGTGTGAAACTGTGCTTGAAGATATAGGCCCAGTAATCGTGAATAAAACAATTCGAAGCTACGGTTTCTTAGAATTTCTTTATTTACTTTAACTTTTTGTAAATAATGCAACTTTTTTCAACATTATTTTTTTGCAGCCATATTTAATTAATAACATATGTTTAAATTTTTTAGTTTTTGATAGGCTTGTCTGACCTGTCTTTTTGTATAAATAAAGCGACGTTATTTCACTTACGGGCCAACGTTTCGCTAATCTTCTTAGCTTCTTCAGGGATGTGTTTTTTATTATCTGTTACAAAAATATAAATATGTACATATATATTCGATAATAAGTAAAGGAACAAATAAACATACATATACATAAGTACATATATAAAAATTACAAAAGGGCAACTAAAAAATTGAACACAAAAATACTCACATAAAATATGCCATTAAATTAACTAAATCTACTTAAATCCATACCAACTGCTGTGATAGCTTTGTCTAAACTAAAAACTAAATTTGAATTCCATAAGCATAACAAGTTGGCGGCAGAAATGTCATCGGTGTCTTCTTTTTTTGTTTATTGTGTTTCCCCTTTTTTGCAAGATCCTTAAACTCTGTAATGTGTATCTGTTTTTTTTTTTGTATTTTTGTGTTTGCTAAATCTGCTGAGTGCCCAGTAGTGTTATGAACGCGCTGTACTATTATTTTTTTTATATATCTGTTTAATGTTCGTGCTTAGAGCTCGCTTAGTTGTTCCTATGTACAGCTTTCCTCATTCTACGTTCTCCTTTCCCTTACATTTAATTTCATAAACTACGTTACTTTGTTGTTGAACATCTATTGAGCGTTTTGTTTTTGTAAAACAGTGGATAATGTGCAATTAGATTTGTATGCAAGTGTTATGTTTTGTTGTTTTGCAAAGTCATGGCCGAAGTTTTCGGTCAGCTTCGGAATGTATGTGGCACTGTGGTATCGTTTTGTTGTGTTTATTGCATATGTGTTTGAAATTCTAAATTGATGATTGTTTGTTTGGATTTTTTTATTTGTTTTTGTTTTATTAAGTTGTGTATTAAATGTTCAGAGTAGTTGTTGCTTTTTAGGATCTTTATTTTTTCAATGTTCGCTTCATGAAATTGTTTGTGGCTTATTGTTAATATTTTGTTTATGAGGTTTTTCGCGGTATTTATTTTGTATTTAGTTGGTTGCGAAGAGAAGAAATTTATCAGGCGGCCAGAAGATGTAGGCTTGCAATACCAGTCCAGAAGAAGGTGATTGTCGCTTCTATGTATACGCGTATGGTGAATAGAAGTTTGTTGTGGTATTTGTTCAGATGATGGAGGATAATGTTAGCGTCATTCCGTTTGACTATCGCGAATATGTCATCTACATATTTTGTTATAAATTTAATATTAATATTAAAGTTTTTGAGCTCTGAAATGGTTTTTTCGAGTAAATCGTCCATCATGATGCCAGCAATTATTGATAAAAGGTGGTTGTCCATTGGCATTCCAAAGGTTTGCGTGTATAGCTTATTATTACACATAAAATAATTGTTGGCTTTAAGACAAAAGTCAAGAGTAGTTTGAAATTTGCTTTTTGGAATGTTCGTTACCTTCTGTAGTTTCTCCCAGTTTTTCATTATACTTTTTAATCGCTAGTTTTCAAACGATGTTTTTTGGAATCGAGTACCAGAGCCCTTGTATCGTATCGAATCGCAAAGGCGCATTATAAAGTTAATGTATCTGACGTCGCGATTCAAGATATTAGGTACGGTGCACATTAGAGCGATACGATATGCGATACGATACGCGATGAAATGCGCGCAGTGTACATTAGAGCGATGCGATACGCGATGCGACATGCGATGCGACACGCGATACCATTTTGTGATAGCTACAGACACTTTTGTGCCCTTATAAGCTTGCTAATGAGTTAAATGAGATGCTTCTCAACCGAGTTTAGACCTTTCGAATGATATGTCTATGTTTATATCTATAAACTTTTAAAAAATTTAAGAGAAAAGTATGTTTAATATCGAGTAAAACTGATGTTTATTTTTACAAAGTCGGCTAAAAAGTTAATGAGATATTCAAATTTTCATGACAAATTATTTCAGAATATTGCGTTCACTACAAGGACAAATCGGTGAAAGCTGAATTGAGAAAAAGGTTAAGCAAAATTTTTTTAGTTGTATAGCCAAAAAATTTGTTTTTTCTCGTGAAAGGTTGAATAACTTTCCCCCGATTTTTTAAAGTAAAAATCATTATATATTAAATGTAAATTTTGCATCAATTCAGGAGTAGTATAGTTGCTTTATAAAATAGTGCGTGAAAACGTTGCCAAATTTGAAAAAAAGATGAAAAAATGAACACAGAAAATACACACAGATCTCTTAAGTTTTCTAAAAGTTTATATACATATATCATTCGAAAGATCTAAAATCGGTATATAGTCAACTGAGTTACAAGCTTATAAGTGCGGAAAACCGATTTCTTAACAGTAAATCAAGATTGTGGGGGTGTGTGACAAAAATTTCGTATCTCGATTCTTACTTCACTCGGCAAAACCTACCTGAAAAATAACATGACTTACCAGGTACTTTTACTTCATTATTTTTTGAAGCATCGGGTTATGGAGCACACAAATTTGTACTTTCTCTATTTAATTTAAAAACTTATTAAATATACTAAAATAACACTCAAGAAAAAAAAACATATAAAAATATAACGAATAATCAAAAATAATTACCTACATACATACATAATTTTTTAGTATATGTTATCATATCTGATTTCTTCTTTTAATGGTAAATGAGATGTTATTTCTTAATTGTTTCTAAATGCATTGATTACTACTTATTTGAATATTTGAAAAAAATAGTTGATCATTAACATTTAAACAAACACCAAATCTTTTTTGCTATTCAAAATCAAAAATGGATAGGTTTAAAATTATTAGATTCTCTAAATTTCTTTTTAAAGGTGTGAAAACAAAGGCAAATAAACCATCACGAAAAATATT